AATTGTCAACTACTGGACACAGTATGTTCACTGTTTGTTTTCAAAGACACTGAACTTGTGTCAATTGACCTGACCAACTGCACAGTGCACATCTGTCCGAAAAACACTTAAACAAGTCCAAATCCAGTCTGAACACTATTTATGGCAGAGACGAGTGCTTTCTCAAAGTCCATGAATGTTTTGAAATGGGCTGGCAGCTTTAGTGTTTCAAAGCATGTGGAGGATGTAGGAAGGGTTCCACCAGAAATCTCCACTTTCAGTTCAGGAGGAAGCTTCTCCCAGCCAACCCAGAACGTCAGCAGCTGGACCAGTGTAGCCGATGAAGCTAAAAGTCAAAGTGGATTCAAGACTATATTTAGTTCAACTTAATTCATATCAATGAGACATAGAAGAGTTGCTAAAGAGAATAAATTAGCCAAATACAGGTGAAACTTGGAAAATGAGAATATCTTTCAAAAGTGCATTCGTTTCAGTAATTCCAAAGGTGAAACAAATCTCATAACATGCAAAGTGAAATATTTCAAGCCTCAGTTATAATTTTGATGATTTGGCTTACAGCTATGAAAACCAAAAATAAAAGAATCAAATTAGAATATTTTATGAAATCAATAAATGTAATCATCAAAATTATTAAAAAAAATGCTTGAAATATATTGCTTTGCATGTAATGAGTATATCAGTTTCACCTTTTAAGTTGAATTACTGAAATAAATGAACTTTTGCACGATATTCTAATTTTCCGAGTTTCACCTGTAATGTTAATTACCTGTTTCAATGAACATCCTTAGAAATCCAGTGATGCGGCACGTAGACTCTATGTCAAAGTCTTCATCAGCACTGTCCTCAAGTGGCCATGTGATTTTGTCTAGAAGCATCTTACAGAACAAAGTAATTATTTTAAAAAGAACTTATTTTAGTGAAGGAATAGGCAGAATACATTCTTGGTAAAGGAAAAGAGAACCAGCTCAGTCATTGAAGATGTGTGTACATTCATCAAGTGAAGTCAAATCTAACTAAATTTCTGATTTACCTGTGGTGTGAACTGCATTTCAGCCATTTTGGGGAGAAGAAGAGGGACAACATCTGGCCTAGATGTCAACAGGGGCCATACCATCACATCTTTCAGTCCTTTTCTCAACTGTTTGATTTGGCACATGGTCCTCCCAATAACCTAAGAGGCAGAAAAATCCATATTACAGATGAAATCCTCAACCCAAATTTGCCAATAGTAGGGAAAATGTTCATAAAAAGCAAATTACTTGCTTTATAAAATCCATCCTCACTCTACTACACAATATAGCAACCCTTTATAAGACATTTTCAAGTTCTAGAATAATGTACGTACGCCGCTAATCAAATGTGTTTTCCTGGAATGTTCCTTTATTTTTCAACAAAAAAAATTCTGCCTGGGTTACAAGTTAAAGAGAATGCTAGTTCTCCTGCCTACAGTCCCAAAATGCCTGTGAGAGAATAAGTGGTGCTTCATGCAAACCTGACATAACTGTTCTGCTTAAGACAATGATGGATGATGGGGAAATGCCACTTTCTAAGTTTCAGCACCTGGTGTCTAGTGCTCAAATACGGTACTAAGAGAAGTTAACAGTGGTGAACACCTAACTATCACCTTTTTAGAGTAGATTATCAAAAGGGAAATTCACACAACCAGATGAGTGTTGTTGAGCTGCTTTGATGTACTGTAGTGTGATTTTTTTTAATGAAGGATTGCATTTTGTTTATGATGATTTTTCCTACTGGGTCAACTTTTGTGAAATTGGGGTTTCTTAAATATACCATTGTTCTAATAACACTTGCAGGAATGAGAAACATTGTAGTAGTTAAACTGTATGTATTTAATGCTGGTTTTGAATAACTAACATTACTATGGGCCAAGACCAAATATGTTTAATGTTTCCATCTCTTCCTTTGTTGACATAAGAACCCAGGGTTCACAACACTTTATCATTTCAACAACTACAGCAATGAATTCCGTCAATAAATAGGGACTCACTGCATGGAGTAGAAGTTTGTTATGTAGCCATCTCCGATTTGTTTTGGTGACTGTTGGGAGATCCCAGGACATTGAAAGATCTGAAACGGCGTCCTTCTGTTCCGGTGTAAGTTCTTCATGTTCAAGCTAAAATCCAAATCATACAAGTGATTACATTTGCCCAAACAATAATTCTGCAAGGCAATTTTTTTGACATTACATACCAGCTTTATGATGCTCCTGATGTGCAGATCAGGACAGTCTTCTGTAACAACAGTTGCTGTTTCAGGGTCCCCATTGAACAGTACATGAATTACAGCAGGACTTAATCCTGTGACATGGGGGCCGTCATGCAGAAAGCTGTGGGCCAACATCCTTCCTGCAACCCGGAAGAGGTCACTTTCAATAAGCACCTCTGATGCAGCTGGAACAAGATGATCAGGTTCACCCTCAAATAGCAGTGTTCGGCCCATTCCTCCTGTAAAGTATCCAGAGATCTAGAGATTAAATCAAAAACAATTAACCACTGAAATACATTTTCATCTTTACAATAGGAAGAGACTTACCAAGATCTAGACTGAATCCAAACTGAAGTTTGGATATTATTGTTTTCATAAAGTACCGCATCACTCCCTCCCCAACAGCAACGTCACCTGAAATAAAATTGATGAATTAATTATAATTAATAAATAACAGTGGCAAAACAATGGCTGACTGATCCAGGTAACAGGATTAGGTAACATTTAACAAGCAAGGAAAAAGTAGTCAATATTGTATGTGTGTATTATGCAAGATCTTTTTTCATCAGTGATCTTCAATTATATGATTTATGGATCCCATTTAACAATTTCATATAAAAACCTGAGTGTTATAAACTTTACTGATACATTTATATTAAAAACTTTGGTAATACTTTACTTGAATGGGTATGCATAAGACTGACATGATAATGTCATAATCATGACATGACACCTGTCATGACACTTTATGAATGCTTATGACAGTCGTCATCAAGTGTCATTCGATAAATGATGTCACTTTTAATGCCAAGTTGACTTTGTTTGAGATGTCTTTGTTATGACAACTTGACATAGACCAAAACAACGTAACCTGTCATAAACATGACATATAAGACCTGATTATCAAACTTTGAAAATATATTTAGCTTTATGTCTTAACGTAACATTAAACTGTCATATATCGATAGCTTTCACATTGTAGTGTGGAATCTACAGAATTGACGAGGCATTTTGTTGGTTCTTTTTACTGCTTTATTTACGTTTTTACATTACCTTTTTTGTTGGAAATAGGTTGAGAGATAACTGGCACAGAGGACACCAGATTAGACATGCAAAAACGTTCAAAAAGTTTGATAATAAGGTGTTCTGTATCATGTTTATGACAGGTTATGTTATTTTGGTCTATGTCAACAACAATGTCAACTTGGCATTAAAAGTGACGTCATTTACCGAATGTCACTTAATGAATGCTTATGACAGTCATAAAGTGTCATGACAGGCATCATGTCATGATTAAGACAGCATCCTGTCCGTCTTATGCACACCCATTCAAGTAAAGTGTAACCCAAACTTTATATTACTTACCAACAAGAATACAATGAAGTGGACATGCCCATTCTTGCTGCTGTTTATAGAATGACAGAAGTTCCCGTTCCCTGTCTTCTTCGGAGTCCCTTACATCCATCTTCATTCTCAGTGCTTTTCCAGGTGCATGTTCCCTTAAAAGATGCTCTTTGAAAACGTTTGCAGCTTCAGCTGGTTCCTTAATAAGCTTCCAATCTAGAAAAAAACAACAATAAAGTGATCAATTCCAGACAGACATGTTGTTAGTTGGGATGTTACCCGCAGATTAAGATATCCTCTCAGTCTACAGAAAAGGAGAACATTTACAGAATATTTTACAAAGCTGAGTTGATATAAAAACCGCTTTCTGTAAAAAAAACAAAATATTTTAACAATATATAACCCTATTGCCCATTGTTTTGTGTAATTGTATTAGCTTATCCAATTATATCTTACAGGTGTTATTTTTCTATTGACACAGTTTAAATTACACACAATCTTATAGCAACTGTATTGTGATGACACAGACCGTTGTTTGTTTCTTTGGGACCAAAATCCTCATCAATCGCTGCTGGGGCAACTGAACCTCAGCTGATGTTGATGGCCTCACTGGAAGACTGTCAGTGACTGGAGCTGTCCCCGCTATCATTTTCTTCACTTTCACCTCCCTCTTGTTCTCTTTCTAATGCCTGCATGGGTGCCCTTCAAGTTAACAAAATTGAGATTATTGGTCACACTCCCTTGTTTGTGTGCACAACACTTCCCAAAGAAAAAAGAATACACCATCTCTTCAATTTTCTATAGGAAGTACATACCCATTGCAGCTCAATCTGTGCAGCTTCATCTCTGAAAAGGGAACTTCATTCTGGCAAGTGATGCAGGGGATTACTGGCCAGAGACATGACCTGAGCTCTCCTAGCAACAACAACAAAATACTTTTAATTAATGATTAAATGTCACCAGTGAGCTTTGTTTTAATTATGCCATTAAACTGAGTGTGTGAAATTATGTACACTACACAATCTAAGGTTAGATCCTGTTGAAGTGGACGTATGTAGATTGTGGACTGTCCATTCATCGTTGATGGATCTTTCAGAAAGGCAAGTGTGTATCCAGAGCTGGGACACGGAAGTAGTGCCAGATTTCGACCTACGAGTAGATCCTGCAATTTTTAAGAAATTCAAAGCCTCCGCCTTTTTGAGAGCTTCGGGAACACTTCCATAAAGTTTGTTGATTATGACCATTGGATCGCTGTCATTCCCTGTGGAATAAAAAGCCACATCATATTGACTCACCAAAAACTAAGCAAATAAGCCTGTTATAACGTATTCACAACATGATAAATCAACCTAAGTTTGAGTCTAATATGAACATATGGAAATACTTGTCTATAAAAAGAAATGCCGAGCATAACTGCACAATTTCAACTTTTCCACAGACAGTACAGTACTTTCTTTATGGTTTTGCTAAAGTCTTAGTTTCTTACTCACCTAAAAAATGTCACTTTTTGCTCTCCAAGTCTGAAGAAAGAAGTTTCCTGTTTATGCTGTACGCTTGGAACTTCTCCCACCTTGTGGTCTGCCAAACCAACAGACCGTGTGTGTGTAGCTTCTTCGAATGACCTTGGTGCTGGGTCGTCTCATAGTCCTTCTGGCGCCTACCGGTATACGGCGCGAAAAGCCTTGCTACCTCGGCATGCAACACAGAACAATGACAACTCAATCGGTCACCAGTCAGCAAAAGTCACGTGCCAGCACACTATCCGAGCATTACAACACTTTTCAATCCATCTCCAACAAATTGTTCGCTAATTTAACCTACCACCTGTGTCACAAAGTCATCATGATTACTAAACCACACTTGGCTGACCATAAACATGACTAGTAGCTAAAACTAAGTTTACCTTACCTTGGACAGGTGTTCGCAGTGGCGGCAGGTAGTGGAGCCGCCGATGTCGCCGGAGCCCCCGCCGCCGCGCTGAGGTCGCCGTCGGGCGCCGGAGGAGTTTCTGCTGAGAGCTTTCCTCGATTCAAGTCGCTGCTTCTCCTCAGCAGCTCCGGGCAACTCTCTCGACAATGTTGTTACTGCACGCATGAATTCGTCGATGTAGGTGCAGGCATGGGTGGCAGGACGGAGTCTTCCACTTTGACCCAAAACGTACTGATAGCTTATAGGTTAATAGCGAATTCCATCCGTGTATCGGGGTATTCAGCTAATCAATTCCATTATCGATCCATCCTGTCTGACTTGATGCGCTGGGTAACACAATCAGGTTGTTTAGAACCCGGCCCTGACTTTTGATGGGCGAGTTTGACAGATAAATAAATTCATGAGCGCCTGCACACAGGTCCATGAAATAATTTAATAAAATAGGTGAAATAATTATATGCTGGTTTATTACATTGAAAGAATACGTATTTGAAATGAAATTAATGAACCATTTAATCACATATTTATGTATTTAATTCCAATTTTAATTAATAAATGACACATTTAATTAATTATTTAATGATGTATTTCTATTTATTTTAATTGTGTGTCACCAATCCATCCTCCATAAGCCCGATTGACAAACACAATAAGTACGTAAGTTCGCGCTAAATGAGACATGGTGAGCAGACGATGATTTAAGTCGTCACTTGATCATATTTTATGATACCACGTCACGTGTTTGCAGAGTTTGTCCGCAGTGATCGTCAGTTCTCAATAGAAAATCTTTCTCATCAATGCTCTATGCCAATCAGAACTACGGCTACTGCGTAAGTGTAATGCAGCCGAAGTCCGACGTGTATTAGAATGCCGTTATGCTGTGATACAGCTTTCAACAGAACATGGCAAGCCACACATGTGCCGGTAATCAGATTTCGCTTACCGTCAACTTGTATCTCAAGTCGCATTTGTTAATTACCGATGTGATGCTGAAAATCGTGAGACGTTGGCATGCACAGGACGACAGAAGTCAGCGTATCCGTGTGCAGATGGCAGGATGCTGTTAACTATACGTTTGCACTGGCAAACACTATAGCAACCGATGCGGAAGGAGGCTCCCTCCATCACAGATAACACCACTAAAACAGCTTGATCACAACATCACAGTGATCACTAAGTATCCGATAGCAGCGTCCCTGGCAACCACCTGGTAACAATGAAAACGTTCTAACTGGACGCAATTTCCTGAAGTAATCTTTCGAATAACTAGCAACACTAAAGATCATTTTACAGTCCACTGGCACAAATAATCTGAAATAACACTCCATTTCTCCGCATCAAATGAACATCAAAACGCATTTAAATGGCCAAACTAACTTTTTAAAATAGGCCATTTTCCGACCGAGAATAAAACGAAGTACGGCCCATGTTTTTTTTTTCTTGCAGGGAGAAAATTTGAAGGAATTCAAGTGACATAGACGCCGGCTTGAATGAATGGTGAAAAAAAAAAC